GAAGCTTCTAAAGCAACATTTCGTAATTCTGCTGTAACAGCAGGAGTGATGCAGGTGTTGTTCATTTCTTCCCCCAAACACTCTCCCTTACTGGAGTTAGGAGAGCAGTATATGTTTATTTAATAAGCCCTTTGAAATAAGTTATTTCTGCACACCACTGTCAAGATGCTTCCTATTCGGATGCATGGCAAGGAAGAAAGGATTTTTTGGAAGTGGGACAGTTTCAGAGTATGTGATTTCTGGATAGATGTAAATCATAGTTGTAGCCAGCCAAGATGTTGTGGTTTTGCGTGCAAGATCACAGTCTTGGAATTGGTTTACAATAAAGCAGATTGTTAGTTGTGTCAGGTAGGTCTCAGAGCAGCAGCATCTGAACCGAAACCAAACCACACTGGAAGTCCTGTTTGCACTAACCGGTAATTTTTGCCTCTTAGTAGTGTAAAAGCAGGTCATCATGGGTGAATGAAGTATATGCACAAAATCTTACATTAGAATGTAGTCTAGCTTCTCTTTCTCATTAATAAACTGTAATAAACAATATTAATTCATTGTAATAAGACTGTAATAAACAGTCTTGGTTTATTTTCAGTTCTAAAGGAAACTCATAAAATTAAAAGAGCACTTGTGTTTGACAACAGTCTTTATATAACAGTGTTAAAAATACTTAGTCTTTGCTGGGTGATAATACACTTGCATTAAGAACTGTTTTTGTGAAATAAAGTAGATGTTTGCCTTTAAACAGGATGAACTGTTTGAAATGCACACAAAACAACGTGTTCTGCACACAGCTAAATGGGGAAACGATCCCTGTTTATTTTTCACTAATCTCTTTTTTTGACCTCAGATATTGTAGTTGGCATGTTGGACTCCAATGTTAAAGAAATGTGTTTTGCAAAGCGATGCCAGAATTGATGATGGTACCTGCATCTCGTAGGGTACGAAGTTTAGTCTTAGTTCAGTCACCCCATTTCCAGCATCATTACTCATTGGAGTCATGAGTGAGATCTGGCTCAGTCCCAGCCAAAAGAAAACACCTTAGCTGTTTGCTTCATTCCTGATCCCAGTGGGGGCTGGAAGGTGGTGCGGGCCCGTGGCTCTGACCCGCGGGGGAAGCCGTGGGGGAGGCGGCTGGCTGCGGGGCCGGGCTGCCTGCGGGGCCTGTGGCCTCCTTGTCCGGCCCGGTGCGACCTGTTGCAGTCATCCGGTGGCTGAAGGTCAGGGATGTGAAGGCAGGCACTGTCAGCTGTGGAAGTCATCTGAGGACAGTGAATCCCACGTGCCGAGGACTGTGAGAAGTTAATAGGCATTAGCAAAAAACTTTTTTTTTTTTGTAACACAGAACTAATTTGGAGTACAGTTCTGTGAGGGGCATAAGCATAACAGCAGTGAGCATTTGGGATTCTTCAGGAAATTACCAACTGAGGAGCCAGTAAAAGAATCCTAATAGCTTAGGGACAAATGCTGGTGATTAAAACTGAAGTAATGGTGCCTCTCTAGAGCAGTGCTTTGTTCATTCTGTCTGCTTTTATCACAACCCTGACTCCTTTCTTCATTTCTTGAAAATTTTCTCCTACGTCAGTAAATTCTTTCAAATTCTGGTACCCCTCATGAAAGAATTTACCAGGAGGAAGGTGGCAGTCTTGAACAGCTTCATCTCTGGGAGGTCCCTGGCTTGTCCCTGCCTGGAAACCCCTGTCACACGAGTACCAGATGAAAGAGGAGGAGGTTGTCGCTGTAGTGGTGGCTTTGCCTGGAGAGCTAGGGAGCATCACAGTGAGTGTAAATCACACTGCTGCTCACGCAGCCATGGGTCATGGGCTCCCCCATCATCCTGCTCATCCAGCTCTGCCTTACTTCCCAGCAGCTGAGCTTTCACTGTGTGTCACTCCATTAGTCACTCCAGCCCACAGTGCCGTGAAGTTCACCAGCCACGTTTCCCCAGAGTTACCTGTTGAGAAAACAAAAGTGTTTATTCAGACGGATGCATAAAACCAGTTGTTACGTGGAAAACTTCCGTCTGTGACCCTGACTGAGTGACCCTGCCAGGTTGCCCAGAGAAGTACAGGTTGCTTAGAGGGGCTGTGGATGGCCCATCCCTGGAAGTGTTCAAGGCCAGGTTGGGTGGGGCTTTGAGCACCCTGGTCTAGTGGGAGGTGTCCCTGCCTCCCACTTGGCAGGGGGGTTGGAAGGAGGTGGTCTTTAAGGTCCCTTCCAACCCAAACCATTCCGTGTTTCCAAGTGCCATGTTTGTGGCTGGCACAGCAATTCTGGGCTTATTACCCACAGGGATTTCATCTTTACACTGTCTCCTCTTTTCTGTGAATTCGTCCTTATGGGTTTTTTTTTTCTTTTGTAATCCCTTAATTTCTTAATTTCCCCCTTGCCCTGCTTTCTCTTTCTTTTCACCCTCTCCACCTGAGAACATCCCTGTTTCCCTCCTTCCACACGCATGTACACACATGTGTAATTCCAATACACTCAAGTGCTGTTTGATAGCCAGCAACGGTCCTCATGCTGTCATAGGAAGTATGGTAAAAATCTTAAGTACCAGCAAAAATGAAACCACTTACTGCTCACCTGAGATGACCAAATACTCTTTTATGATGGATTTAAGGCAATCCAACTGCTGACTGCAGCCAAAAGGGCTGGTGCCATCCTTCCTCCCACTCCCTCTTTCCTGCTTTGAGTTATTGGTCAGATGATGACCTGGCTGAAGTTCGCTGTTTTTTCTCTGTTTTGGCTGGGTTCATATGGAGCTGGTGCAGCAAGGTTATGCTCCAAGGTTTCATGTTTGTTAATGCCAACACAAGGAAGGTGCCAGGGAAGCACAGTCAAGGCAGGTCTGTCCTTTGGGTGGCAACACAGTCCTGGAAGAGAATTAGCCAACCATTAAACACCTCTTCTGCCAGTAGTTATAGTACAGAGTCATAAGATTTTATATATCTGTTTTAAATATTAATTTATAGAGAAAAAATATATAAGAATTCTATTTATAAGACCTTTGGACTAACTCTGTGCCAGCAAAAAGTGCAATCCTGATGCCTTATAAATGACAACAAAATCGGCTGATTAGATAAGAGATGCTTACAAAGAATCTGATAAGTGCTTGGCAAAAAAAATGCCTATGCCTAACAAAAAAATTAGGACTGTTGCTTTTGTGCCCTGATGTACAAAGTATCTCTTCCAAGTTT